TGTTACTGGCATGAACATTTCATTTTGTTGGAAAGGAAATATTACTACCATTCCTTACAAGCATAAATAAGTTGTAATATTGATTTTTAATAAACTTTCTTTTGGCTCATTTGGTACAACTAAATGACCATTTATTTCACGAAGCAATATCTTCGAGACTCTTAACACTCATTTTGAGCTTTTCAAATGCAAGGTTTGTTATGTGCATGCGAGGTTTCAAAGTGTGGTCGGAGCAGTATGTATGAACCAGTATATACTGGTCTGACCATGGAATTTTTATTTATTTTGGTGCTACCAGGCAGTATAGGTCGATAAATTGTCTGGAATACCACTGTACTGCTCTTACTGTTTGAATCCTTTTTCAGTTTTTTGCATGTATTATGTCACAATCAGTTACCTGTATGATAAGGTTTATTTTTGAGGTTGAAGTTAGTCATAAGAACCAAGACCATTTATGCAATTTTTCATTCACATTTGTTTTTGTTGCATTGATCTGTCCAATTTGTTTAATCTTCAGTGCTCATTTTAGATTTTGGAGGCTTAGTTCACTGGAATTCTATATTTTATTTGCTTTCTTGGCAATACAGCTAATTATGAGGCTATTTTTCTTTGATCCTAGCGCTTTTCTCCTAAAACTGAGTGTCATTGGGTTGTAGTCATAGAACATGTTTATGTAAGAGTACAAACGGAAGGTTGTCATGCAAATTAGCACCTGCTTTGGGGTCAGCTTTGTTTTTGCGAACTACCTAAGCAGTTAAGCCATCTGTTTGCTTCAACCAGATGAGGTACTATGCTAATGCTATAATGGTGTAGAGATCCTCCATATCAAATTCTGTCTGAACTGTTGTAGATAACACCTAGCTAGATTGGTTCTCTCTTTTCCTATCTAGCTGTTTTTACCTGTACAAATAACTTCCATGCTCTCTCAATAACTATTTTCAGTTTCTCCTCTAAGTTCACCATACTATGACAATGTATATACCTACTATGAAAGTTCCGTTATTCTCATGCGATACATTATAATTCCTTCTTTCTGGGTGAAATCAATCTGTCTTTCTTTCCATTTCAGGCAGAAGTAAATGCTATCAAGTGGGATCCGACTGGTTCATTGTTGGCTTCATGCTCTGATGATGGGACTGCAAAGGTAACTTAGCATGTTAGGAAAGGATCCTTTTCTGTAGCATAATCTCACTTGTAAATATTTGTCAGTTGTGCAAAGAAGTTTATCCTCTTATGGACTGTAGTCTCTTGGCTATTTGGGTTGTCATAATTTACTTTGCACATGTCATTTCTCCATTTTCTTTCTATAAAGTCTTGTACAGCTTTATCTAAGAAGCTATAAGGTGTCATTTTAACAGTTATGTTTTATTTCCTTTCCAGTATCGGTTGCATAGTTGTTCCTTTCTACTTACATACTTGAGAATCCTTATTGAAAACTCCCATTTCTTTTCTTTTTGTAAATTACTAGCTGAACTGATTGTTCTTTGTCCAATATATTTATCACTTTCTGATGGCCTCACTATGGTTGTCATACTATCGTGAGCTATTGAACATTTACTTGAGCCATGAAGGATCTGTATTCAGAAACTTAATGCCTAGGAGTTTACATTTAGTGGCCCCACCATTTGTTAATAGGTTTATCATGTTGAATTCCATGAAACATTAATTTAAGAATTGATGCATTATTACCATAAAGGAGATTATGTGAATTCCATAAAATTTTTGCAGATATGGAGTCTGAAGCAGGATAAGTGTCTGCATGATTTCAAGGACCATAGCAAGGTTGATCTTTTATTTATTAAATTGTGGCATTTTTTCTATGTTGTCATGCAGAAATATTGACAAACTATTTTCAGGAAATATATACGATTAGATGGAGGCCGACTGGTCAGGGGACAAACAACCCAAATCAACAATTGGTTCTTGCAAGGTAAGAGATTTGTTTGCATTAAGATGGTATCAACTTTGCATTAGTATTCTTCTGGGTAGGATGGTTACCTGTTATAGATTTGTTTGCATTAAGATGGTATCAACTTTGCGTTGGTATCTCTTCTATCACATTCACTCACAGTACACTTTCATGTTTGGTTAGGTTTACTCTGACAGGATATGAATTGAATCAAGGCTTTTTCCATTTCAAGGATAAAAGGTCTCCATTTAGAAAGAAAGTGGCTGATTAGTCTTTACTAATCAATTTTAATGCATAAGGTAAATAATCAATCTCACAAGCATGCTTAATGGCTCACACACACAC